GGAGGTCCGAGGTAGGCCGCGACCCCGAGCCCCCATTCCTCGGAAGGGGGTGGAGGTCTGGTGGGTGTCTTGGGGGAGGGTCGGCCCTCCAGCGGAAGGATAAAGGAGCAGGATGATGGCAGGGTGCTGGAGGCTCACCCAGGCTGCCCTGTGTGGTCAGGCAGGGGGAAGGTGAACAAGGGGCCCTGTGGCTGGACCCTCATCTCTCTTTTTTCCCTCCTTTTTCTGTCTCCCCACCATGATTCTTCATGCCCATCTTTCCCCGTCTGTTTCTTTCTGTTTCCATTCTCCTTTGTTTTCCTGATGTATTGTTTCTTCCTCACTTCCCCTACTTGTGTCTCCCCTGTGATCTCTCCTTTCCTCTTGGGGTCTCTCCATGCCTTTGTGTTCTTCTTCCATCCTGCATCTGCATCTCTGTATTTGTCTCCTCCACTCTGCCCCTCACTCCTCCGTCTCCCTGTCCTGGTTCCTCTGCGCCTCTTGTGCCTCACCACTTCGGGGCTACAGCTGCTTCAGGACTGACCGCAAGCAAGCCACCAGCCTCAGCTGCCCGGGAGGTGCTAGCCCGGCTGCATGAGGAGGCACAGCTGCTGGCGGAGCTATCGGACCAGGCTGCGGCTGTGACCTGGCTGAAAGATGGCCGTGTGCTGCCCCTAGGCCCCAAGTATGAGGTGCAGGCATCCGCTGGGCAGCGGGCACTGTTGGTACGAGATGTGGTGCAGGATGATGCTGGCCTCTACGAGTGCATTAGCCGAGGGAGCCATATTACCTACCAGTTATTGGTTCAAGGTGAGAGCTATGGGCAGGGAAGAAGAGATTGTGGGTTCAGTATTGGCGAGTAGTGGCCTCAGTCTCAGCGAGGACAAGGCCCCTACTCCTGTCATCCAGGTGAGGACTCTGGACTTCCAGCTTCGGGGTTCCTATGAGTGTGTTTGTGTGCCTGGGCTCTTGGAGGGTGGAGAACAGGTCTAGCTGTATCTAGCAAAACATAATGACTTTCTAGATTCTTTTTTTCAGTGAACAGTTGGGCAGGAAATAGTTAAAACTAATGTTTAGGTAGGTAAGTGATCTAAAGGTAGTAAAGGGAATCAGATAATAAAGAAATTTAGGACCACTAAATAGTCAGTTTTAGCCAATTTGGGGAGCATATTTTCTCTATTTCTGTCCATTCTTTTTTTTAAATTTATTTTTGTGTTTCATCCCTGCAACTGGGTCATTTTACAGTGCTGAGAACCTTCCTGTTTACTGTATGTTTGTGGTGAGGCTCAGGGTCAGGAAAAAAAGCTCTTCTTTTTCTTTGAAAGTTGAGGGAACTCAGGTGGAGAGGAGGTATACATTGTTTGAAGTATCTTAAGATGGTTGAGATTGGAAGTGGTGCTGTGGTCAAGCGATAGAGCACTTGCCTTGAGCTGAAGAGCGTGGGGATAGTGCCCAGACCCAGAGTTCAAGCCCCACGACCAACAACAACAACAACAAAAAAGATGGTTGAGATTTAAGCCTAGGTGAGTCTGGCCAAATGACTGGTCTTTCTATAGTTCTAGGGCTCAGACATGTTACCACATGGGGGTTAGTGAGGAGGGAGTATTCTCCAAGGAGCATGGCCCCAGCTCACAGGCCTGAGGACGGGAAGGCTCCGTTCTGCCAGGATGCATGGAAGACATTATACCCACGAACAACACACTTTCACCAGCAGAGCATGAATATTAGTTGATGGTTTCAAAGCTTCTTGGTATATCAGAAGTGGGGCAGGCTGGGGCTATGTTCAGGAGTCTAAGCTTCTCCCATTTTATAGATAGCATTATGTAGGTGTGTGTGTGTGTGGGGGGAAGCCGCATGCAAGTTCGGGATGGGAGGGAATGCCCCCTACATCTGCCAGAGGTGCCATAGCAATTTCTAGAATGCCTGTCAGGCTGCTCTGCTGGTGACAGCAGACATCAGGGCAGGCATCACATCTCTTGATCCCAGAAAGAGCCACATTAGACCCTTTGGGCCATGGGGAAGGAAGGATCAGGGTCAGGAAAAAAAGCCCTTCTTTTCCTTTGAAAGTTGTGGAAACTCAGGTGGAGAGGAGGTATACATTGTTTGAAGTATCTTTTTTTTTTTTTTTTGAGTCCGGTTGTGGAGCCTGGGCCTGGGTACTGTCCCTCAGCTCTTCAGCTCAAGGCTAGCGTGCTACCACTTGAGCCACAGCGCCACTTCCGGCTTTTTTTTCTTTTTGCTTATGTGGTGCTGAGGAATCGAACCCAGGGCCTCTTGTATGCAAGGCAAGTGCTCTACCACTGAGCCACCTTCCCAGCCCCTGTTTGAAGTATCTTAAGATGGTTGAGATTTAAGCCTAGGAGAGTCTGGACAAATGACTGGTCTTTCTAGAGTTCTAGGGCTCAGACACATGGCGGTTAGTGAAGAGGGACCCCCGTGGAAGGAACTGGGGTAGTCTAGGAACCAGAAACCCGTTAAACAGAAACCCAGATGTGGTACTTGACTTCGGTGGACCATTTTACCGTGTTCCTCCCATGTGTCCCCAGAGCCCAAGGTGGTGTTTGCCAAGCAGCAGGAGGCAAAAAGCGAGGTGAAGGCCGAGGCAGGGGCCAGCGCCATACTGAGCTGCGAGGTGGCCCAGGCGCAGACGGAGGTGACCTGGTACAAGGAAGGGAAGAAGCTGAGCTCCAGCTCGAAGGTGCGCGTGGAGGCATCGGGCTGCACGCGGAGGCTGGTGGTGCAGCAGGCGGGCAAGGCGGACGCTGGGGAGTACAGCTGTGAGGCCGGGGGCCAGAAGGTCTCCTTCCATCTGGGTGTCACAGGTACGTTCTTTGCAGATACTAAGTTTCCTTTGGTACACATTGCACTATGACACTAATAACTTTGCGGGTTCTGGTGCTGTGCTTCATGATACCTTGCACAGCTGTTTTGTCATACAAGACTTGGCTGTGTTTGCGGGAACCGGAACGCTGTGAAGACCTTCGCACCTTCAGTGCTGTTTCCATTTCACAATACGATGTTTATCTCTAACCCACTCTATAACACAACCTCTTTCATTTTATTAAGTTTCTTTTTCTCAGAATGTATTAATTGTATGAAGGGTTTAATCATGGTAATTCATTTCTGTATATGGTTTACTCAGTTTAATCTAATTTATTGCTTTGTCTTTCCCAGTTGTCAGACCAGTAGGAGGAGGGAAAGATAGAAGTGAATAAAATTAGAGATAAAAATTAAAGGAAAAATCACAACAAATACAAATAAGATTTAGAGGCGGTCTTTTCTCTGGTGCGTGTTTTAGCTTTTAATAGGTCTGCATAAGTAGTTTATTTCTTCTTGGGTCAGTTTTATTCTACATTTTCCAGGTTACTTGAATATAAGAGTTCTTTCATGATTCTCTGAATTTTATTTGTATTTGTTGCTTTTCTGTTTCAAAGCATAGCTTTTATGTTTCATTGATTCTTCCTATAAGTCTCCATTTTGTTGATTTTTATTTTTTTTGGTTGTGGGGCTTGAACTCAGGGCATGGGTACTGTCCCGAGCTCTTTTTCTCAAGGCTAGTGCTTAGCACTTTGAACCACAGCCTCATTTCTGGCTTTTGAGTGATTAATTGGAGATAAGAGTCTCACAGAGACTTTTCTGCCTGGGGTGGCTTCAAAGCTTGATCTTCAGATCTCAGCCACCTGAGTAGCTAGAATTACAGGTGTGAGCCACCAGTGCCCGGCTTGTTTATCTTAATATTTATTACTTCTTTCAGTCTTCTCATTTGCGGAATTGCTTTTCTTGTTTTTCTTGTAGTGTGAGGTACATTGTTAGGCTATTTATTTGAAACCTGGGCGCTGTCTCTCAGCTCTTCAGCTCAAGACTAGCGCTCTAGCACTTGAGCCACAGCACCACTTCTGGCTTTTTTCTGCCTATGTGGTGCTGAGGAATTGAACCCAGGCCCTCATGCATGCAAGGCAAGCACTCTACCACTGAGCTACCTTCCTAGCCCTCTCTCTTTAAATGTACGCTCTCATAGCTATAAACTTTCTTCTTGGTATTGTCTTTGTTGTATTCTAAAGTTTCTGGTTGGTTGTGCTTTTATTTACTCTGTGTGTGTGTGTGTATGTGTGTGTGCGTGTGCGTGTGCGCACGGGTGTGCGTGCACACGTGCTTCAGTACTGGGACTTGAACTCAGGGCCTTATGCTCTTACTTGGTTTCTTTCGTCCAGGCCGGCTGCTCTTACCTTGTTTATTCACTCAAGGCTGGCATTCTGCCACTTGAACCATACCCCACTTTGCTTTCATTTTCATTAGAAGTTTTCTGATTTCTCTCCTCATTTTTTCAGTGACCTACTGGTCATTAAATAAAGTGCGCTTCAGTTTCCATGTGTTTAAATATTTTCTGTAGTAATTTTGCTGTGGAATTTTATTTGGTTATGCATAGCCTGGTAGCACAGAGAGTTATTTCAACTTGCTTGTATTTGCTGAGACTTGCTTCATGTCCTAGAATATATTTTGGAGAAACTCTGTGGGTGCTGAATGAAAGACACTGTCTATTCAGTTCATTTGGCCTATAACGTCATTTATTCTGATGTTTCTTTTTTACTTTTTTTGTTTGTATGATACATCTATTGGTGAGGAGAGTGTTGAACTCTTCTAGTATTATTGAGCTGTACCCTATCATTTCTTGTAAGTCCATAAGTACTTGTGTTTGGTGAACTTGGATGGAACAACATTTGTTGTGTGTATATAAACAATTGTTATTCCCTCTTGATGAATTTTCCCCTTTATTAATATGAAGGACCTTGTTTGTTTCTTCTAAATAATTTAAAATCTGTTTTGTCAGATGTAAGTATGGCTACTCCTGTTTTCTTTCAGGGTTCATTTTCTTGAAAAGTTTTTCCCTTAAGCCTGTATTTATTTGTCTGTGTGGGTGAGTTTTTGTCTCTTGTAGACAACAAATAATTGCATCTTGTTCTTTAATTGAATTTGCTATTCTGTGTCATCTTTTGACTAGAGAGTGTAGGCCCATTAACATTTGGTGTTAATATTGAAGCATATTGTCATATTTTGTCATTTTTTGTTTTTATGTTTACTTGTGACCTATTCCCACTTTGCTACTTTATTCATTTAGTGGAGTTTATTCTTCCTTGTGCTTTCCTATTTTCATTTGTCTTTCTCTTCTGTATGTGAGATTCCTTTAGATATCTTCAGTGGTTCTGGTTTGTGTCATAAATTCTTTTTTTCTTTTCTTTTTTTGTTGGTTGTGGGGCTTGAAGGCTGGGCTTGGGCACTCTCTGTGCGCTCTTCAGCTCAAGGTGAGCACTCTCCCGCTTGAGCCACAGCGCTACTTTCGTTTTTCTAGTGGTTTATTGGAGATAAGAGTCTCATGGACTTTCCTGCCCGGGCTGGCTTTGAACCATGATCCTCAGATCTCAGCCTCCTGAGTAGC